TATTAACAGTTGTGGTTAAAAATGGCATTTTATTTACACTAAATTCAGGTCACATTTAATTTAAAACTTCATAATTAATCTCACATCACACCAGCAACGTTTAAAGACTCAAAACTGCTTTTATTGGATGTAGGAGTTGTGAGATTGCAACAGTACTGTGTCCTTGGAGCTCCACATTACTGAATGACTCACTGCAGGCCCGGAGCACTGTGTGGGAGGGTGTGAGCTCTTCAGTAACCTCCAACACTGTGTGTGTGTGTGTGTGTGTGTGTGTGTGATCATTTCAGACTGGGAGGATTTGTTGTGTCAGACATGAATTTGTCTTCAGTCAATTTCTCTTCCACTCTAACCTCGTATGAGGAGAATCCCCTCCTGACCAACTACATAGTAGCTGCAACCCTCTGCATCACCATTAATTACATCAACAGCACCCTGATCCACACCTTCAGAAAATATCAGGTATAAATAACTTTGCGTCAGTTATTGCTAACCGTAGAGTCGGCTTTCAGTACCATGTAGTGAAAATCTTTTCTTGCCCATTTGCAGAAACATCATCAAATTGCTTTAAAATGAATCCTGTTTCCCTCACATGTGTGGATTCACTGTTTTTACTCTACAGATCTTACATTCAAACCCTCGTTACATTCTCTTCATCCACCTGGTGATCAATGACATGATGTTGCTTTTCCTGACAACTCTTCTCCTCATCATCAGTTACGCCCTGCACATCTTCTTCGTGCCTTTCTGCATCATCCTGCTGATCATTACCGTCATCGTCACCCACAACTCCCCATTAAATCTGGCCGGCATGGCAATGTGTTACATCGCCGTCTGCATGCCTCTCCGTCACGGGCAGATCTGTACAGTCAAGAAAACCTACATTCTGATTGGTTTGATCTGGGCTGCCAGTGCGCTCTCTATCCTCCCTGACCTGTTCATCCTCCTGGCTACAGAGCCTCTGCAGTTCTTTCACTCTAAAGTGAGATGCATTAGAGATTTCGTGTTCAGAAGCACATACAGCCTGAACAAGAGGGACGCTTCACACATTGTTTGTCTTGTCATGGTCTGGCTCACACTCATATACACCTACGCTAGGATTATATTTGCAGCCAAGGGACTAACCAGTGACATCAAAAAAGCCAGAAACACTATTCTTCCTCATGGTTTTCAGGTGCTGCTACTTATGCTGAATTATGTGAGGCCCATTTGTGAACAGAGCTTGTTTTTTTTATTCCCGAACCGGGAAATTCCCATACAATTTGCTTCCTTTGTCATTGTCCAGATCATACCACGGTTTATAAGTCCTATCGTTTATGGACTGCGAGACCAGACGTTCAGGAAATATGTGAGAAGGTACCTCGTTTGCAGTGAGAGAGGAATCACCCACCCAGAAAACACCACTACTTTACAAAAAGGCCTCACGTAATATTACATCTGCAACAGTATAAAACTTTATTATCAACTTAATTTGTGTTTTTTTATGCTGCAAATAAATAAATAAATACCATTGCTTGATTTTATAAAGCGTTTTTTTTTTTTTCTGGGGGGAAGGGCTTATAATTATTCAATGAAAAGAAAATATCCACTGGGATTAGTCAAGAAATGATGAGACATTTTGTATAAATTCCATGTTAATGTGCAATGAAAACACTAAAGGTAAAGCAGAAAAAAACTCACCACCAGCCTTAAATGATCAGAGGTTAGTTTGGGTTTTTTGGTTTAAGAAGGTACTGTGCATCATGCTTTGGTAATAAATAATAAATAAAGTCGTCTTAGTTCAGAATATGCTTCATTTTCTCCTCTTCTTTTTGGCCTTTTTATCATTTAAATTAAGGATAATGAAAATTGCTGTGACTGATTCATATATTTTTAAGAAACTGTGACAAAGAGCATTCATGCTTCAGACTTTATTGGAGGATTATACATGACTGGTCCCTTTACAGCAGGGGTGGGCAACTCCAGGCCTTGAGGGCCGGTGTCCTGCAGGTTTTAGATCTCACGCTGGGTCAACACACCTGAATCAAATGATTAGTTCATTACCAGGCCTCAGGAGAACTTCAAGAAATGTTGAAGAGGTAATTTAACCATTTAAATCAGCTGTGTTGGATCAAGGACACATCTGACCTGCAGGACACGGGCCTTGAGGCCTGGAGTTCCCCACCCCTGCTTTACAGTAAAAGCAATGAGTTGGTACAGCTGACATAGATTAACATTTATTTTTCTGTTATTTTTTAACCATTTGATTATATTTTCAAATCTCATATTTGATTATGCAAAACTGGTTAAAATAATTGTAGTGAAATGCTTGAGACCATTGCAATCACAGCAGCACCATCGCTCGCATCATCACGAAGCTTCCCCTCCTGTGATAAACACTGAAACGCTTATAAAAGCTAAGCTCTCACACTGCCTGCCTTCTGTGTTTCACCTGGACTCAGGTAGGTCCTCATTAAAATCTCTGCAGTGTCAATTTGTTTGCATGGCAGCAGTTACTCTGTTCCTTTATTTATATAATTGAACTATATTCTATATTTTAATTGATATTCTAGAGCCATTCTAGAGGCAGCAACCCCAAGTTGCTCTGATTCATCCATCCAATTTGAATGTGTGTGAATGTTAGATGGAAAGTGTGTTTATGGGTAAATGAAGCAATTTGCATAAAGCCCTTTGAGTGCTCAGGTAGACATTTATTAACATTATATGGAATAAAACTGCACTAACTGAAATAAAACCACAATTTTATAACTTTGTGATGAAAAGAAAAGAGCATGGCAGTTTTTATTTAATCAAATGTTTATTTAAACATAGACCCAGACCTAAATGAATCTGCTGTTAACATGTATGATATTATAGTTATATAATAACTGAGAATGGTTTGAGCTTTGGCCGACGCTCGTGTCAGACAGGTAAAGGGGGAGATCAAAAAAATCTGATCTGTTAAAGCATCAGCAGCTAAGACTAAAATACAGACTCAGAACAAAGTAGGAAATTCATAATAATGTGGCAGTAAAATTGTAAAACTCACACACAGCTCCTTTATTTTAGGGGAAAGTGTCCACTTTTTAAATCGTGGTATGCAAGATTTTCTTTTTTAACTGATTATTAAAATTATGAAACTACTATTAATGTAGTTGTGCTAGGATGAGTTATTTAAACAGGTATTGTGTTGTCTGTGTCCATCCTCCCTCAGGTCTCACATGTGAAGAATGAGCTCACTGCTGGGTCTCAGAGGCAACATGACTGTCCCTTATCAGGTTCAGTAAAGCAGCTCCAGTAAATAATTATATCAGTTAAAATATAAATCTATTTATATTTAAATAAAATCCTCATGTTGATTTACTTTATGATGTAAACAAATTACTAAAACTTGAAAGTCTGCTCAGTAAAATGTACTTTTATCAAGGCTACAAGAGGAAAATTCAGTGCAGACACTATGAAGATGTAGTTTGCTGTTATTCTCCGTTTCCTGTTTCCTGTGTGTGCTAACAGACACCAGAAGCAGATAAACTGAATTTCTTGTCTCTCGTTGCTGGATCAGCTGCTGCTCATCAGAGATACTTTCACCACAGCGTTTGTCAAGAACCTGATCGTGGTTCTGGTCTGGCTCACACTCAGTTACATCAACGCCACCTTGGTGGTCACGTTTTTTAGACACCAGGTAAACACACACACACACACACACACAGAGCACCTTATTTGTCACATATAATTATTTAACCTGTCATTTATAATGAATGAATGAATTATAATTATTAATCCAAAACATGTTATTAATATGATATTTTGGTTTTCTGGCCCCCCCACCCCAATATGGAAAAGATGTATATAAATCTTATAAAGTTCGTATCTGTCTTGTATGAAACTTGTATGAAAAGCATACAAGAGTGAAAACAGATATAAGATCCCTTGAAAAATTATAGAAATGAAACTTGTATGTTTTGGATACTTACTAACAAAATAAATGAAAGTAATGAGAAAGTGGCCACTTTCATGAGTAAATCATATATGTTTTTACTATTTCTTTTCCATATGGGCCTGCAGCACCCACAGAACATAAACGTCACACACATGTATGATCTGATAAATGTATGTTTAGTGCATACTTACAGGAAATTACACAAAACAATTTAAAGATATCATTATAAGGTCAACACATAGAGAAAAACGGTGACAAAAAATAAAAAGAAAGTACCAAAACACACGTACAAAGCATGTTTAACTATAGATATAGCAGAGATTTTGATATTTGATCTTGCTGTTTCAAGAGTGTGTGCTTCACTGCACTCCAGTAAGACACTGAAGGCATTTTGTACTAACAACAGCAGCAAAGACAAACTTAAGAGCAGCTGACCGTGAGTGACATCAGGCATATTCACTCCATATTTGATGATAAGGCCGTGGAGAAACAAAACCTCTACAATAATCTCTACTGCTGTTAACCACAGAGTCATTCTGCTTCCTCTCAGCTGCCTCTCTATAGAGGTCGCTGTGACTCTTGTCCACAGCTGTGATTTAAAGCTGGAGTTCACGATTAATGTGCGTGTCTGGAAATTTGCAGTGAGGTTTGAATGCATCAGATGGAGAAGTGGTTCATGTGCCTCTACACCAAACTCACTGAGGAGTGTCACACAGAAGTATCACAGGACATTTCACTCTGTTTCCTCCTTCAGACCTTTCATGACGACCCTCGTTACATCCTCTTCATCCACATGGTGATCAACGACGCCATCCAGCTGACTGTCACCATCATGCTTTTCATCCTCAGCTACATCTTCTACAAGATTAACGTCACCTTCTGCTGCTTCTTCATCCTGGTGGCAGTCTTCACCACCAGAAACACCCCTGTCAACTTAGCTGCCATGGCCATCGAGCGCTACATAGCCATATGCGAACCTCTGCGGTATACCCAAATCTGCACCGTGAGGAGGACCTACGTCGTCATCGGGATGATTTGGTTTATCTGTGTGGCTCCTGATATTACAGATCTGTTTGTAACACTTGCAACCGAGTCTCTGAGCTTCTTTCATGAGTCGGTGTTCTGCTTGCGCCAGAATGTGTTCAAAGACCCGATCCTGGCATACAAAAGGCAAGCCTTTGATATCATCTACTTCTCCTGTGTGTTTCTGATTCTGGTCGTCACCTACTTGAGGATCCTGTTTGCAGCCAGAGCCCTCTCCACAGATAAGACATCAGCCCAGAAAGCCAGGAACACCATCCTCCTCCACGGGGCCCAGCTGGCTATGTGCATGCTCTCCTACGTCTCTCCTAGCGTGGAGGTGGTCCTGCACATCATCTTCCCAGGTCGGATCCTCGAAATCAGATTTGCAAACTACCTGATCGTCTACATCCTGCCCCGTTTTCTGAGTCCAATCATCTACGGTGTCAGAGACAAGAAGTTCAGGGAGTACCTCAAGATGTACTATCTGAGCAACAGATGCAGAAACAAAGAGAAGAAAGTAACGCCCGAGGACAAAAACCACTTATAGAGACTTGTATAGTGCTTGAAGAAAACCTTTAATTTGCAATGTTTTAATGTGAAAAATAAATACATAAAAATGTATTTTATGTTGACAATCCTGGCAAGAGCAAATATCTAATTTCATGTGGTCTGAATGTGTGAATGTCTCCGAGATTAAGGAGAAAACAAACTGTTCAAAAGGAGCGAATGCTTATTGAACTCCATCAGTCTGTTGGGGAGGCCACGTCCCAACAAATTAAATCAGGGATAAAAAAAAAAAAATCATTTGTGTGGGAGAATAAAGGACACATTACCCAAGACCATAAAAATGTTTTTATGGTTTGATATGAAGCGCTGACTTTTTCTGTGTTAGCAACAGTTCAGACTCTTATCTGTTTTTTCAGCTGCAGTTTGGACTCCAGCACAGACACCTTAAAGAGGTCGGCACATTTCTTTTTCTGCTACACTCTTCGTAAGAGTTGTGTTCACTTTCATTAAACCAAACCATTTTAAATGTGGCACTGATCTTCAGTGACAGAGATAAACTCCAAACCCAGCATGCAGAGGAAGCACATAGACTGATTTATCCTTCAGGATACTGTGGACACTGCTACACCGAGCTGCACCTCTCCCATATGCACAGTCTCAATAGAAAAAAGCTCCACCTTGTGGCAAAATCTATTCTCTGCTGTAAAACCTACTGAATGAAAACATTCTGAGTTTATTGATGTCTCGGTTTATGTTATTTATTTTACAGAGAAAGGCTGCGTAACATGTTGAAATCTGTGTTTCTCACAGCAGGTTTCCTGGGGTCATCCTGGTATACTAACACCTGCCCAGGTTTACTTGATAACCAACGTTGGCCTTTTTCTAATCCTTCGCTGAGACTCGCAGTGAGCAGGAAGTCAGTCAAGAAAAATAATGTTGCTGATTATATTTCTAACACAAATCCAGCTCACCACCGTCTC